GGCCGTGCCCCGGCCCGCCCCGCCCCCCCGGGCCTCGTCCCCTCCCGCAGCCCTCAGCCGCCCGGGAGGAGGCGCAGGCCTGCGGGGGATGGAGCCGGCGGGCGGGTGGTGCTGTCCCCGAGGCTCCGGGGGTAGCCTCCCTCCTCCCGGCGGCATCGCTCAGGCGGCGGGCGTTGCCCCGGGCCTCCTTTGCACACCCGCTTCTCTGGCCAGAAGGCAAAGGAGGCCGCCTTCGCGTAGCTGTGCCCTGCCTCGGAGCGCCTCGCTGCCGTGAGGGGGGCCGGCTGCGGCAGGGGCCCGTGCCTGACCCTCCGCCTGCCCTGACAGAAGGGCCCCGGTCTCACGGCTGGGGCCGCATGCAAAAGCGGTTTGTAGTGGCCGTTTTCCATCAGGGCAGCCGTGGAAAACTCATGATCGGAAACAAAAGCAAAGCGCCCTTCTGAATTTGGTAACGCTTAATCATACGCTTGCTTAGAGCTGTTTGGATTTGACACAGTGGAAACAAGGCGTGTTTCCCGTTTGCCCCTTGTTATCTGAAAAAGTTTTAGCTGTTGTCAGCACCTGAAGAAAAATGTTGGAACACGTCCCGGTTTAAGTCATTTGTATATTTTTAAAATGCTTGTCTCGATTTCTGTAAATTATTTTGGAAGGCAGATGTTCCTTTTTTTTCCTGCTCGAAACTGCCTTCAACAACCTCAGCATTCAAGAGTAGCTCCATTGTAACAAACATGTCAGGGTACATAAGACAGCTAACTTGGGTTAAAGAAATGATGACAGTTTTAGATTTGTAGGATCGCATAAGCCATATGTAAGTATTTACTTATTTTAAGCCCTCACTGTTTCAAATTTTATTTTCTTTACTTTCGTATAATTGGTTAGTGTTTCTACAACTTTAGAATCCTAGACAATAGCTTGTGGTTTGAAACTTTGTGTGGCATCCATTGTTTTTCATTGTGTCTTTCATTGGCTGTGCCTTTATTGGTAGACACCTTATTGTTCTAGGTAACTTGTATAGTTCGTTCTTACAGTTCTGTGTAAGTTGTCTCTCTGAGTTTTGGGGGTTTTTTGTGTGGTTTGGTTTTGTTATTTGTGGTTTTTTTTTTTTAAACAATGCCCATCATCTTATGTGCATCTTTGTAGGGACATTTGAACTCTTGAAAGGGTGATGTTTGTTTTGCAGATTCCGATTCTGGATCTGAGTCTGATTCCGATCAGGAGAACGCTGGCTCTGGTAGTAACGCTTCTGGAAGTGACAGTGACCAGGATGATGACAGGGAGGCAGTAAAACCTAGTAATAAGGAGTTATTTGGAGATGATAGTGAGGATGAAGGGGCATCCCATCACACAGGGAGTGACAACCACTCTGAACGATCCTACAATCGCTCTGAGGCTTCAGGACATTCTGAGCATGAAGATAAC